ATAATAATAGTCTGATTATATTAATTTGTTTTTCAATAGGAATTTTATGGATTTCTTACAAATTTTTTACAGTGTTACAAAAAAAGTGTTCGTTAATAAATATGTAACATCAAATTTGTTTGTTGGGGAGCTAGTCACGATGCATGCGGCCATATCAAATATGTGTTTAAACAAAGATGAAAAAAAGAGAGGTATGACGTTGTCGATGAAAGCGAAATATGATAAATATTGGGACAACTTGGATAACATGAATTTATTGTTGCATATTGCATTAGTTTTAGATCGTCGAAACAAGATGTTTTTTCTTGATTATTGTTTGGGGTTGATTTATGGTACCAATTCTGAAAAAAGCAATGAAGTAAATTAGCAAGTGCTAGAAACTTTAAAGGAGTTATTTATTCAATACAAGAAAATGACGGATAAATAAAATGAGAAAAAGACAATTGGTTCTTCAACAGCTACAATTGCATCCTTTAGTAGTTTTGTAGATCTAGATTTGGATGATGGTTATGCTAAATATTTGGAAAATCGTGGAAAATGTATTAATAATACTGAATTGGATATATATTTAGCTGATACAACGGAAAAGAAAATAAAGGGAGATAATTTTGATGTACTAAGTTGGTGGAATCGCAATTCGGGCAAGTACCCTATACTTTCTCAAATTGCAAAAGATGTTGTGCGAATGCCAATTTCAACCGTTGTTAGTGAGTCGGCATCTAGTACCGGTGGTAGGGTTATTGACAAATTTAGAAGTTCTCTTACACCAAAGATCGCCGAAGCGTTGATATGCACACAAGATTGGCTACGTTCTACACCATCAGATTTGTGAGAGACAACTATTCATGGACTACAACTACAAGAACTAATGGTGAATTTGGAGAAACTAGAAATTGGTAACCACTAACATTTTCCTCGTTTAATGAGTTATATTTTGTAATCTTTTTCCATATAAATTTTAACAAGTTGTGAAATAATGTTTATTTTAGATTACTTTTCAAAGAGAACAAAATCATGTAATGATTCGTTCATGGATGAGGATTGAAGATTCAAGATTGAAGAATTTTTTTTTTTTTTTGCATAACTAGAAATTAGTACAATGATATTTTTCTCTTTGACATTTGGATCACCTTTAGTAGTAAATGGTTCTAAACTTTAGTAGTAAATGATTAAATGACTATTGACTTTGCATTTATAGTTGACATTTCATGTTTTTTTCTTAATTTTAGTAGTAAATGCATTTCTTGTTTTTAGTAGTTGATAGTTTTGAGAAAATTAGTAAAACAACCAATTTTCTAAGCAATGTAATTTTTGTTTGCTTATATTTTAAGGCAATGAATTTTACTTTTCTTTGAAATAAATTTACTTTTTATAACCTTTTTGGTTAACCAATAATCACACTTGAATTAACCACTTAACCATTAACCATAACCGATTTTAACCACCTAGTAATGGTTAACAAAATGTATTAATCGAATAATTTGGTTATGGTTCGGTTTTTGCTATTAACCGCTCCATACACACTCCTACCGAACAATTTGATGGTACCTTTCCATCAAGTCTCGATGCATCTCAAATGGCCAGAAGTCCTCATAGGACCTCGGACGCTCAAGAGTCATAGTTGCAATCATGATATACGACACATTTTTTGTGTCCTTCTCATGAGCCCTATACTTAGCCAATTGCTCGGGAGTAGCAGTTTCTTCATTAATCTCCTTTAGCTCTTTGTTAAGGACATATTCTTTGTCCTCGTATTGAAGGGTCATACGTATGTTACGAATCCAATCATTGAAGTTGGTTACATCGAAGATTAACCTCCCACATAAGTTCATGAGGGAGAAAGAGCCAGAAGAGTTGGAGCCAGAAGCGTTGGAGGTAGACATCTGAAAAAGAAGAACAAGTTTAATTAGATAAAAAAAATCCTTAATATGACACCCAAATGAAATATTAAAACTAGGACCCTAACACAATAATTCACAATTCATAAAATGGATATCGTAATCTAATTGTAAATTATTTGAAGGGAGGTAAATAATGATCTACCAATTTCACCACCCAAAAACAAAATTTTGAAAGAATTTAAATTTTATGAAATTCCTAGTTCTTTGAGATTCATTGAAATTTTCAATGGCATGTTTCAATCTCGGTTATGCCCTTCAAGTTTGTGACAGAGATACCGAGGATTACAAACAAGGTGTGAATAACCATGCAAATGTGATCGGTACTCTCGATGTCATTTCTCACCTAATCAATGTGCCGGTTAGCCGCACACGCTCCATTGATCTATGATAAACATCGAGCTACCCTTTGCCACCTTTGTTAGTCTCAAATTAGTGTGTCGGTTAGCCATACACGCTCCACTAACTACTTGGCAAGGTGCAAAGTGCAATTTCATGAAATAACATCATTTTCACATTTTTCCTGAAGTAACTAAGATTGAGAATTTATGAGAACATTTAGTTACTTTATAATGTCATTATACTTATTAATGAGTAATTAGTTGTCCTATCCAACCCGTTCGGTTAACGACCCTCTACCAATCAAGGAAGCGGTAGGGGTGGCAAAAAAACCCGAACCCGACGGGGAAACCCGCAACCCGATCATTTCGGGTCGGGTAACGGATCGTTATCGGGTTTTTTTATCGGGTTCGGGGCAGGGAGTGGGTTATCCTCGCCCCGCCCCGCCCTGATTATATATATATATATATATATATATATATATATATATATATATATATATATATGTTCAAAAAATTTTGTTGTTAATTGTACACTTTCAAATATAAAATATTTATCGTGGACAATTTTTTTAGTTATTAACAATCTGGTGTTAATGATCATTTTTATGTGTTTTGACGTATTAAACAAAACTTAAATCAAATAATTTTTTATATAACGTCCAGTTTATTTTATTAAAGTGATGCATCATGTTTTTAATTTAAAAGAGTTGCTAGAACATGTATATTTTATAAGACATTGGGGTACCCTAAAAGAGAATAAAGATTTCGTTATCAATTGTTGTAAACCCGATAAGATACCAGAAAACCCGACGGGGAAACCCGAAACCCAATGGGGCGCCCCGATAAGATACCCGAAATTTATCGGGGCGGGTTTGGGAATCCACGCCCCGCCCCGAACCCGCCCCATTGCCATTCCTAGGAAGCGGTGGGTGAGAGTGGACACCCATTCAACCGCTATTTTATAGGCAGATTCCTTATACCCCCCTTATAGATTGGCTTCGTGAATGAGTTCTACTAATGGTAAGACTGACTTGTCTTATACACACACACATACACACACACACACATATATACATATATATATATATATATATATATATATATATATATATATATATAAGTATTAATCATTTAATATTATAATAGTATAAGGGTTGAATTTTAAACTTTTAAACTCTAGGGTTTAGAATTTAAATATTTCATAATCAAAACTTTTTAATCGGTGATTTATATTTCAAAACTTGAGGGTAAATTTTGAAACTTCTCAAAATCTCTTAGATCAAATTTGAAAACAATTAAATAATCATATAATTAATCTTAATCACAAATTTTGACCTAATTCATTTGTATGGCAAGATAATTCAAATTGAATAATACAAACAATTAGTTTATCATATAATCTAGTAATTATCTTAAAATTTAACAATTATCTTTTAATTGAATGGAATAATCATTACCATATCATAAAATCGAACTTTATTGGTCAAAACAGTTTTTTGTAATAATCCTAATCCAATTCTGGTCAAAATCCCGAAAAATCTGGCAACAGACGAGTCGAATCGTCGAGCCAGGCAATGTACTCGTCGAGTTCATCAGGCAGGTTGCATATTTCGATTTGCTTCAGCTTTGAACAGTTAATCAATGCATAAATATAAAAGAAAACACCCTAAGCTTTGATATCATCGATGGGTTTTGAGCACTACAATAATCCTATGGTGCACATGCAACCCTAATGCTTTGGATGTAGGTTTTCTCAAGCTATACATGCAATATTGAATTATCCAAAGCATAAACCCTAACTAACATACAATTAATGAGATTTAAAACATAAAACAAGTCAAATGAATACCTCTTTGTTGTAGCTTGCAATCCTTGACCTTCAAGAGCTTAGTGCCTCAAATATAATACGCCTAATAAGTCACAAACACCAAAAGCAGTGGAAAATTATGTGAGAGAGGTTAGGAAGCACTCAAAATCGGCTAGAGTTTCTCTTAGAAGCATATGGGTCAAATTTGGGTGTGCTAGGGGATCTATTTATAGTGTAGGATCCTTGCTTAGGCCTTAAGCAATCCAATAACCCCTATGATAGGCCCTTGGACGAAATCTTCAAGGACTCTCACATAGATTTCGTCCAACCCTAATCAATATGGATCATTAGTCCAAACTATAAGTATTACTGATTTACCTAATCAGTCACTGTTAATTTAATCGGTCTTTTTTTTATCACTAAATTAATTCCAAATCAATTCTTGGTCAATACTAATTAAATAATATGATTTCTCAATTATTATATTATTATTATTATATATTAATAAATCACAATTAACCTCTTTCTCAAATATCCATCCTATCAAATTGTTATGGTGAAGGCAACCCAAAATAACCATGCTACTATCGGATCAAGTACATACCAATTATAGTTATGGGCTTAGGCACTTAATCCAACAATGTATATGTCTTCTATTCTTCCATAAGTTTTGAAGACGTCTCTAATAGTGAATCTTCTTGTGCCCATAGGGATGTTCGAGACATAGTAGGAGGATAACGCCTTGTTGGCGTTTAGATCGGATTTCCTTCGGTGGACTTTCATCCATCCCTCGTTGCTCTCCTTGTGACCGTCGGGCTTCATAGAGAGAGAAACTATCGGTTATCCTTAATTCAATGTTAAAAATGTGTTTTTATTTAATTTAATAAATTCAGACCATAAATAAACATAAAATTGATTCTAACTAAACCGCTCACTTTCTTAATTTTCGGTTCAATGAGACTTGATGGTGCAAACTAACTTAAAACATCCATTTGAGAACTAATAAAAAAAACAAAGAAAAAAAAAACATTGGATCGCGAGAGAGAAATTAGAGGAGAATGAATAAGCAATCGACGCGCTTCTTCATTCCCATCAATTGACGCAAACGCTTTCCAATTTCCATAACATCTCTGATCTATCATTTCTCTCGCAACGCATTCGCATCGATCTTTTCCTGGTACGTACTCTCTCCAGCTCCATTTTTGTTACACTATTTCCGTCAATCTGATTTCATATTTTTGTAAATTTGTGTTGTCTGTTGGATAGAACATTATTCGAATATCTGTTCGTTTTGATACTGATCTTTACCCCAATCTGTCCTATATCTAGGTCGTTGTGATCTATCTGTGGTATTTGTTGTTCTGATTGTGTGTTTTAATGTCGGTTTTTTGTGGTGTAAGGAATTGGGGAAAAGAGGAAGAAACCTATCTATGATCCTGCTTCGTTAAATTATAGTAGTTAGTGATTATGCTGTCTATATTAGGAAAATGATGCGATGAACGATCTAATATACGAACTCGGATTTTGGATCGGAACTTCCATTGATATTTAAGTAATTGTGTCTATAAATGTCAATACGATGGACTCCTTATGGAGAAACTAGATACAGACAAATAGGTAATTTGATCAGGTGAACCTTTTTCTTGGATCACAGATCTTACCTTCATAAGGGTTTGGATCACCAAGAACTAATCCACATTATGATTTATATCAGGCCGGTTTTAAACATTCATACGATTGTTTAAGATACATGAGTGCTAAGTTGGTGTTTAGTCTTGAAATATTAGGTGTTGATTGAACTGTCACTGATTCATATCAATCCAAACTTTAAATTTCTTATTTCTCAGATAAACTCGAACGCTTGGAGAGTAACCAGGAAGATTCTGAAACTTGTTGTGGCAACTGGGAAGGAGGAAATCCTTTCTATATTCAAGCACATAATAATATCCTTCCCATTAGTAAGCTCTGCTCGATTTGATCCAATTGAAATCTTCATGAGAGATGTTCTTTCTGAATGTTTAAATTTTTAATGCCAGGATGCTCGGAAAACTTTTATAAGATCGGCCACTGTTTGATCTTCATTCCTCAACTGTTAAATCTCTGAACGCTTTCATTCCATTTTTTCCTAGGGTTTATCACAGTATGTCTCTAACAAGTGTTAGCGACAAGGAGGTGGATATCGTGATCGGTGCTTTCCGATCTGATCTGACGTCGTTCATGGAGGAATGGCGACCTATATTCTCTCGATTCCACTTAATAATCGTGAAGGATCCAGATCTTAAAGAGCTAAAACTAGCCGAAGGTTTTGATGTTCGTGTCTACACAGAGGCCGATATAGTCAAAGTCGTCGGTCCTTCTAAAATCGCTCTGTTTTCCGGCTACTCCTGTCGCTATTTCGGCTATCTCGTTTCCGATAAAAAGTATATTATTTCGATCGACGATGACTGCACGCCAGCTAAAACAAACAACGGTGATCTGGTAGACATAGTCGCCGGACACATCAACAACCTTAAAACTCCGGCGACACCTTTCTTCTTCAATACTCTCTACGATCCGTATCAGAAGGGATCCGATTTTGTTCGTGGATACCCGTTTAGTCTACGTAGCGGCGTACCTTGTGCGATTTCATGTGGGCTTTGGCTTAATGTAGCAGACTATGATGCACCGACACAAGCTCTGAAACCAGATCTGAAGAACACGAGGTATGTCGATGCTGTTTTGACGGTTCCCTCAAAGGCAATGATGCCGATGAGTGGAATCAACATCGCGTTTGACCGGGAGCTGGTGGGCGCCGTCGTGATGCCGGCGTTGAAGCTGGTGAAGGAAGGGAAGGTCCGGTGGGAGACGATGGAGGATATATGGTGTGGTCTTGTGGTGAAAGTGGTGTGTGATCATTTGCAGTTGGGTGTGAAAAGTGGGATTCCGTATGTTTGGAGGAACGAAAAGGGGAGTGCGGTGGAGAGTTTGAGGAAAGAGTGGGAAGGTGTGAAGCTGATGGAGGAGGTGGTTCCGTTTTTTGAGACATTGAAGCTGTCTCCGGAGGCAGTGACGGCGGAGGATTGTGTGATGGAGGTGGCTGCGGCGGTGAAGGAGCGGCTGGGATCATCAAATGCGGTGTTTTCCGGTGCTGCTGAGACGATGGTAGAATGGGTAAAGCTCTGGAATGCTGTCAAGTCCCCAGGCTTAACTGTTTTTTCATTTTTTTTTTTTTTTTCTGACTCTTGGTTATGTTAGGGTTCATTTTGTTCTAATAAGCACTTAATAGACGTTTAATTCTGGAGAATTAAAAAGTGTATTTGGCGTTTAGTTAATTTTTTTTAATCAACTAATAGTTAACACGTGATCTTTGACTTGGACATGGGTTTAGGATCTATAACGTTGATCAAAGGTTTGATTTAATATTTTTTTTGTTATTTATAGACAATATAATATTTTATTTTTTGGAGTTGTAAAGATGTGGTGGTGTTTTTTTATTTCTGAAAATATGTGAAGGCCACATTCTCATTTATAATCATTTAACATGTCGATGATTAAGGATGGTTTGTTTTGGGTTAATTTACATGTACACTCGAAAATGTTTAGACTTCAAGAGCGATGTTAGTCTAAACATTATAAAATTTGAGGTTAATCCTTGTTATTTAAGAAAATATATTAATTTTTATTTTGAGGTGTTTAACAAAATAACAAATTCTATTAAAATCATTAAGTTTTTATAAAAAATCGATTTTGAAGCGTTTTAGAGTCGTTTTAATTCCATTTTGTAGAATTATTATCGACACCACCAGTTTTGTTTTCATACGTCTCCAAATATATAGGTACTTTTAATGGCTAATAACTTAATAGGTTTATTTTTTTATAAGATGATAAATATCTTCCTATTAAATGTTCTTACTTTCATTCTACATACAAGATTATCACAAATGTCAAAATGAAAGGATAATATGTATCAAATTAGTATTTTACACGTAACAATCATTAAATGGGTAAAAATATAAAATAGGAATATGTTTCATTTTTTATTTTGTATTAGTATTTAGTTATTTAATCGTTTTTGTCCATATATGATTATTTAATTTTTTTTTTATTCATATTCAGTCTTTATAACCAGTTACTTTAATTTTGCATAAGTTCTCGAGTTTTAGAGTGTAATATAATTTTCAGTTTGCATAAGTTTAATCTTTTACTTTTTGTTTACATTTAGTCCTTATGATGAGTTTCTTCAGGTTTTGTTCATTAAGATAAATGAAACCGAAACCGAATACATCTTCTCTTTGGAGAAAACTAAGAAACCAACATTATTTGATTAATTCATGAATTAGGTTAATGATATATGTGAGGACGAGCCACTAATGAGAACGTCTTATTAATGATTATCACACGGAGAATGTCATGAGCAAAAACATGAAACCGATCATAAGAACTAAATATATACAAATTGAAAATTATATTACCATATTAACTCATTTTTCCGGCTTAACGCTAGTTATAAGAACTGAATGTGGACAAAAAAGTTAAATTGTCAGAAACAAACAAAAAAATTCAATGATTAAATGTGTACAAAATAAAAAATACATTCCCTTGTAACGTCATTATCCTCATTGTTATAAAGAAAGAAAAAGTCATCAAATTATCAAATATATTATATTTATCTATTATCATACAAAACAAATAATTTTCGTGTAAGATTTTTGAAAGGAATGTATATAACATAAGTATGAAGTAGTGGAAGTAGTGACTTAAATATAAACGAAAATAAAAAAGATCAATCATCCACATGTGGCCTTTCAATAAAAATACACCCAATATTCTTATTTCTTAATATGAATAATATATAGTATTTAATATATTACCCAACGAGGTCATATTCCTTTATTATATATTAACAAGGGAAGCGGAGAGAAAAGAAATGAATTCGAGAGAAAGGAATCAAGAGTGTTCCTGAGTTTATTTTTTGGAGTGATTTGAAAAGAAATGAAAAGAAATCACAACTTTTTTTCTCTCATAAACTTCCTCCCAAATCGTAGAGATTTGGAGAAAAGAGAATCATTGATAAAAGAAATCTCTATGATTACCAAACTACCCCCTATATTCACGCACAACATCACAGGAAAAAAAAATCATTGCTTCTCTAACAATGGTATAATTGTCCACTTTTAGTTTTCATTTTTTTCCTTCCAACTCAAGAACACAAAGAACAAATTTTTTTTTGTCTAGAACTCGGGAATAGAAAAAATACATTTTACCTTCTGTTCCTTTCTTTTCTTTCCATATTTCTCTTCTTTTCTTTTCTTTCCTTCACCTCGTTCCCAGGTTCAACTTAGGGGGTGTTTGGCTTAGTTTTTCATAACCTAAAAGTATTTTTTGGAAAAGTTATAAAAAGTCAGGTTTTCCTGACTTTTCCAAAAAATTCCTTTTCCGTGTATCAAAACTCCAAAAGTAACTTTTAAAACCAATTTTCTCAAACATTTTTTGCTTTTTTTTCTTTTCAAAAAGGATTTTTGGTTGCGAAAAACTAAGCCAAACACCCCCTTAACGAGAGAGGAAAAAAAGGAAATGAGAAGAAAATAAAATAAAATAAAATAAAAATTGTGTTCCCAAGTTTCATTAAATGAAGAATGCGGAATGATCATTTTCCTTCCTAACTTTCATTTTTCTTCCATTTCTCTCTAACTCGGAAACACAAAATACAAATTTCTTTTCTTTTCCTTTCTCTCTTTACTTTCTTTTTTCTTCTCTGCTACAACTCGGGAACTAGGCTAAATGAAACTCGAGAACAAGGGGTAATTGTCTTGTAATTAGACAAGATTATGAAAGATTTGTCTGTATTTGATAGTGGATATAACGAAGGAATATTAATTAGTGTATACACAGTTTTATACTACTGCTGGAGTATTAATTAAGTAATACTAGTAACTAATAATGTTATAATGCGTTTAAATGATTTATATTGAAAGAAATCGAATGCATGTGGGATGACTGACTGGTTCCTACCCTTTACATTTGGAAAAACATTTGTATCGGATGACATGTATAATATGATTCTTTTTTTTCACATCACCATCAACTCTATCATAATCAGAAATCATTTATTTTAAATGAATCATGAACACATCACATTGTTCATGAAGCATTACTATTACAATGAATGAATTTTAGCGTAATTCCAATATTTAGATTTCTTTCAACATAAACTTTATAAGAACCTTCCTATACATAACACAATCCACCCAAAAAGAAGAAAAAACAAGAGAAATACGAATCAAACAGGTCTCTCAACTCATATCAATTGTGTCAGAAAAGCTGAAAATAAAAAATTTACAGGTATTGACAAAAGTCAGGAGACCTGAATATGAAGTCAAGTACAGCCCAGACAATGTCTGACTGAGAGTGAGAAGTGTGCTGGATGTTTTGCAGGTGGAGACTGAGCTTTTCTGCGACCAAAATGCTTATGAAAAGCATCCACTGCACCTTTAACCCCATCTTCATCCGCCATGGCCTTTGCCAGTTCAGTAGCAGCTACTTTCACCTGTAAGTGTAAATAAGTAAATACATAAATTATGAGAAAAGTAAAAAAGTATAATTGTCTGTTTTACTTACGGCTGGCTTTAACATGAACTGTATTGCAGAAACCAATTTCTTGAGTGAGAAGTCCTCCACAGGAATTGGAGGGGGGCCTACTCCCCTTGCATGAACCTGCTTTCCCCAAAATGGTTGGTCTCCAAAGAAAGGAACCACAGTTGTTGGACACTGTTGTAATTTACATATACATTATTATAAAATTAAATAAAACAATACTTGGATTTTTTTTTTTTATATGATAATATAAAAGCAAGCTCACCGCAGCTTTAAGACCAGCAGCAGTTGTTCCAGCACCACCATGATGAACCTGCAAAAAATAAATAATTTTTATTTTTACAAAAATGAAAATGTATAAAAAAAAATTACGTACCACAGCAGCACATTGTAGGAATAGCCAATCGTGTGGAACATTATCCAGCAAGTATACAAAATCTTTCGACTTGGCCACTGCACATATATGTAAATATCAACAAACAAACTGTATTTTATATATATATATATATAATTAATGAGGTAGAAAAGTAGAGGAAGATAAAGATCTTACTTACAGTTTCCTAAACCACCCCAGCCTTTGTTGATGATACCTCGTTGCTGTGTAATTTGTAGGGCTTCCACAATTATCTTTGTCATTCCATCAGGGTCTTGAACAGGCTGTGTCATGTGTCATCAAATCAATTACAAACAGTTAAACTATATTGTATTGTTGCTGCTTTTAGTGGAGGAGTACTGGAGTTGTTGCTTTTAAGTGGTTGTATTATCTATTTAAGTAACGTTTGAGAGGAAAAAAAACTCACAAGGCTACCAAATCCAATGTAGATGGGCTTTTTACCATTTTGAAGCCATTCCAGTAGCGGATCTGGAGGTACATAAGTTGATGCAAGGTCTAAGAAACAGAAACCTACAACATCAATATGTGCACCCCAATCTGAAATTAATCAAATCAACAACACAAATCATTACTATACCATAACCATCCTCAATATATGTATAGAGAGACATACCTTTTGGTTTGGGAACAAGATGTGGACTCCAAATATATCCGTAAGGCAAATCATGTGGAGAACTATATGAACCACTTAAGTATGTAATAGGTCTTAGCTTCAGCTTTTTCTTCCTGAACTCATTAATTATATCTCGCATCCCCATCCAAATTAATGCATCAACAATCTGATATGACAGCTGCAACAAACAAGAACTTGAGGGAGTGTTTTATTAACAACAATAATAATAATAATGTTCCATCCCAATCCCATGACTACAATAATCAAAGTTGCTTACTCTATTTGCCACAGGTTGCCGAACACGTGAAAGAGGGTGTGAAAATTCACTTGTAGGCCTGAAGAAAATTAAATTAAAAATATAAAAAGAAGAATATCAGTAAAAGGATGGAGCTGACCCTATCTCTCCTAACTGGCACACTCAGAAAACTAAAAGAAGCAATAGAAGAAGAGACATATGAGTATCACGTACGTCCATGGCATAGTGAAAAAGATGTGGAGTGGAACGCTAAGTGCTTCTGCAACATGAGTATGACCTGAAAAAGCAATTTCATGTCACATTTCCTTAGTTGATTCACAATTTTAGTGGTATGTGATGTGGGTCCTACCGTATGCAGGAGGGTTAGCAATTATAGCATCAACATTGAATGGAACATTTGTGTCCAGATCAGGACTAGTACATGCAGGAAGTAAAGAAAATACAATCTCCTTTATTTGACTTCTTTGAATTGGTATTTCCGAAGGCTCTGATGGCAAAAATCCTTTGTTCTTCACCATGTCTACACAACAAATTCAACCCCATCACTAAAAAAAATTATAAGATAAAATTATATATATATAATATATATATGGCTACTTTCTTTACTTACATCCAGCAAGGACTTTGGGATCACCACCTAGAGGGAAAAATTCAAGGCCAGAAGCCTTGACAAATTCCTTGAAATTGGAGTGAGTTGCTAGTCTGACTCTATGACCATATTCCTGTAAACGTTTTCCAATGGCAACAAATGGTTGTACATCTCCCCTTGTTCCAACAATAAGCATAACAATCTGCAATGGAGGGAAATCTGGAATAGCTGTTGCATCAAAATCTCCATCTTTATCTTCATCCTCATCTTCATTAGTAGCAGCTTCAACTTTGGTACCAAAATCCAAGCTTTGTTGCCTGATTTCATCTGGAATTTCAAATTGCACTGTGCCATCAGCTCGAACACTAGCTAACCGATTCAGCCACTTGAGCTGCAGAAAATTACATTACATTTATGTTGTTTTTAATCATTCTTATTAAGTATTTATTTGAAAATAAGATGTGGTAACTGAAGAAGGGAAGAAGCCAAAACCTTCTTTTTTGTAGGTATTTTACTGTCAAAAAACTTGGCACCAAGTAGGCCATGGATTTTGTTTTGTTTAATTCTCCCATGTTGTTGTTGTTGTTGTTGTTGTTGACTACTGGTTGTCACTGATGATGTGTCTGGAGTAGAACTTCCACCCGGAAGATTTCGGTTAATAGACGCTGAGTAGACAACATTTGGAAGCTGTCAATTGATTGGTTAACAAATAGAATAAATTTCATTGTGGAAAATGGAGAAACTATTCAAGACATACATACTGGCACCCTTCACTTAATCTAAGAATCGATTGTTTATCCACTTTGTTGTTAGTTTACTATGATTTATTTATTTAATAGAAGGTGTAGTAATATTATGGATATCGCCTGCAGTTACTGTAAGAAACTCTTTTGAGGAATTAGAGTCTTGATGGGCAACTCTCTTGAGGAATTAAGAGTCTTGAAGTAAAATTCTTTATATATTTCTTCAGTTCAATCCATCATATCATTGGGAGAGGATTAACCAGAAGATCGTATGTCCTCAGGCCAAACATCAATTAACGAACAAAATGGCATCGTCCTCACACAAGTTATTTTCTGGCTTATTCCGAAATAGCCCCAATACGCATTAGTCAAAGCAATTAAGTTTGAAGAAAAAGACTCTTATTTTTTTTTTAGGGAGAGAGATGCTAAAATTTTCAACTATTCAGCAACCTTTAATGGAAAAACAACTACTCACCTAACTCTTCTAGTATTCTAGTCCTTGGAATAAATATTTTACAGATTCATACAAACACTCACTCGTTTCACAATCAGGGCGCTCTTTAAAACTCAAAATTAGCAACTCCTCCAACAATTATAATCACATTTGGTGTATAAATTCATCGGCTTAAAGTTGCATGCCATCCAGATATATGAAAACGAAAAAAGGGGAAACCTGAAGATAGACCGACATGTTGAGGCGGTTCGTCTGCGGCAGTTATCTCAACATCAGAATCGAGTTCCGGTGGGCTTTCAGACGTGACACTAGGAGATGAGCTTTGATTATGATGACCACCTTCGCCCACATCAGGGTAAGAATTCATGGCGATTGCTGTAGTACTTTAAGAAGAAAAAAAAAGGATTGGAAGTGCTTTTGTTGAAAGCTGAAAATTGGAAAAAGAGGGTTTTGGTTAGGAAGGAAGGAAGGAATATGTTCGGTTGTGACTGCCTGCTTGCTTACATCACATTCAAAGACAGGTGTTGGACTGTTGGTAAAGCAATGCCAACGAGGGAATTGGGTAGGAAATTTGAATGAGTTGGTGGTCACGTACGGGCTACGGCTATCTAGAATCAAAACATTTTTTTATTTTTTTATTCTAAATAAGCCCACTAACCTTAAATAGACCGGCCCACATATCTATAGGGATGGAATCTCGCAGGTTATGCAGCCCTCAAACCCGACCCTACCCGATTTAGGCCCCCTATGGCCCTATTAGTGATCCCGATTGTTTAATCAAAAAAAAAAAAAAAACATGTATCCAATGTGAACTCGCTGCCTTAACTCAACTTGACCTAGGAATTCCCAAGTTGATAAGTATAGAAACAAAGTGTTTACAAACACTAGGTTATGAATAACCATAGTCCTTAACCTTTTATATATATATATATATATATATATATATATATATATATATATATATATATATATATATATATATATATAACTAAAGTAATCCTTTGGTTTCAAGTTGTTTTAGGAAAATATCAGTAATAATTGTGATGATCTATATGTTATTAGTTTAATGAGTTTTAAGACTAATTCATTTATGTTATTAGTTTAAGTATTAAGGTGGAGAGAGTACTTTTCCCTTGACCATCTAAAGTCACTTGCCTTCTAGGTGTTATATTAATTTTTTTTTCTTTTACTTCCATCACTCCTAACCCACAACATATAATTAATACCATCCAACTCACTCCCAATGTATAAGTACAACATATGGTATAAGTTCGGAGAGAAAGAGATGAACGGGTTCACCTTGATGGTGAAGCCACCCAACCTTTGTCTAGAATGTAAGTACAACATACTGTACCTCACCCATATAGTGTCACTCTTACCATCCTTAGAATTTAGCTATTAAGTTTGCTGATATAAAATTTTAAAATTCGCCTAATATCTACAATTTCTTCCATCAACTTTCATATCTTCACTATATTAGTTTAATAATAACACTCTTTATTGACATTAGTTTAATAATCATTTTGTTAATGATGTAATTCAACATCCAATAGCATTTTTCAACTTTAGAAAAACATATGGTTGATGTATATATTTTGTTATCTATAGATATTTTTTTCTAAATTGAACTTGGAAATAAATATGTTAAAGGAATCCATACCACATCCAGTGGTGAGTGAAAACAAGATTTTTTTTTCTTTTTTGTAAATAGTAGGCCTGTGTAGCATCCTGATGTTGAAGTATTTTCAAATTTTAACCCTAAGTATGAAGATTATTGCATTTTAGCCATGTGTGTGAGAAGTGTTGCAAAATGGTCCTTAGTGGCATTTTTTGTAAATATCGGGTGTGGGGCATGTATGTTGGGCGCCTGGGCATACGTGGCAGGATCTCAAACCCTAATTTTTAGGGTTTGGACCCTATTTAAACATCTTTATGGTCTCCAAGTCTTTTCTCTCATCAACCTCCATTGTTTCACTTAACCTTAGCAAACCTTAGTTCCTTGTTTGAGCATTCTTAACCTTTGGTGTACATTTCAGTGACCTTGAAGGAGAAGGAATGAAGTGGAATCACCTTGGAAGCTTAAATAAGCTTTGGATTTAGAATCATCATCTATCTAGCAACCTCCACGATGTATAAAGTTCTGAACTTGGCTTGTATTTATTTAGTTCTTGTTAGCTCTTGAGTCTTGAAGCATTTTGGTTCCAAATCTTGACACATATGAGTATGGCATACTCTATGTAACATCCCAAATTTCCAATAAAAAATTCATTTTTAATTAATAAAAACCATTCTAAATACATAATATTTCAACCACATTTGTTTTTCAAAAATCCATAACATCAAATAAATTATCCAAAAACATCAGAGTGTCCCAACAAAATGTCGGAGAGTGCATGTCGCGTCAACACGCGGGGCCCTTGCCCTTAGGCTCCAAAGTACCTGAAACAACCAACAAACTGTAAGCTAATGCTTAGTGAGTTCCCCAAAGCATACCCCACACAATCCACATAATCATATAAACCATATTAGCTATATCAGTTACGCAAACCACATAAGCCATGCATATAACATATAAGGATTCCCTGGAAACCCTCCAGGGTCTTATTCCGAGTGTCATGGGAACCCCGACATGGTCTTAGCCCAATGCCTCGAGAACCCCTGAGGTTTTTTACTAAGGATGCCCTGGAAACCCTCCAGGGTCTTATACCCTAATGCCTTGTGAACCTCCCGAGGTCTTTACCTAGGATGCCGTAGAAACCCTCCAAAGTCTTACACCTAAATGTCTTGTGTTACACCCCCAAACCGAATTGGCGGAAACATTCGGGGTGGAGGATGTCATGTACAGTATCATAGCAATGCATAATAGTAAAACAAGCAACAACATCATCAATTGCATTAATAGTATAATATGTACATGTATGTTCTGAATGTACTTGTAAGACACCAAAAATATATATCAAAATAAAAGACGAGTCTGAAAGTGCTTCGTCTTCTCAAAACTTGGCCATATGTATCTATCTACTGCTGACCTGAGAATACAAGTTATTTTGAAAGAGAGGATCAGCATTTAAGTTGGTGAGTTCATAAGTATTTTAGTCTCAAAAGTTTGTATAAGCTTGAAGAAAGTGCTTGTAAATGTTTGTTGTAAATGTTTGAAACTCCTAGAAAATCCTATATTTTGTACTTATCATGAAATGTAGCCTTCTACCAAGACTCGAATGCTCTGCATGTTGGTTGTTTGTAAAAGTGAGTGTTTTTCCCAAGTGACTATCATTACCAAAATATAGTTTACATTTCCATTTATGTGAGAAGATCACAATGTGAATGCAATGGGAAAATAGTGACGTATTGTAGTATTGTATATAGTAACTATTGTTGTACTAACTACCTTAAACCGATTGTTAATTAAGGTAAAATGTGATATGATTGTAAATTTGTAACCATGCATGATCAACTAGTAAAACACGACGCTCGAAGACGTCGAAATGGTATGACATTCGTCACCCGTAGTGCAACGACCCAAAAATCATGACTAAAAATTTCGTTTGAAAAACATTACTTAAACCACGATTGTCAATCCATAACATAAAATCAGAGTGTTCATTCAAAACATATTGTTATTAACAGAGTAAAACATCCCATGTTGACTAACTATGGTGTATGTCATGCGATCATCCCGAGCTTTTCCCTCCGCTACCGGAAATACCTGAAACCAAAACTGAAAACCATAAGCACGAAGCTTAGTGAGCTCCCCCAAACCAAAACTGACTAACTATGGTGTGTGTCATGCGATCATCCCGAGCTCCCCCAATCTACCACATACATGGGTCTTGCCCACTGTATCGGACCAAGGTCCGAACTAACTTGGGTCTTGCCCACTGCATCGGACCGAAGTCCGGACTAACTGGGGCCTTGCCCCCTGCATCGGACCGAGGTCCGGACTAACTTGGGCCTTGCCTACTGCATCGGACCGAGGTCCGAGCTAACTTGGGCCTTGCCCACTGCATCAGACTGAAGTACGGACTAACTGGGGTCTTGCCCCCTGTTTCGGACCGAAGTCCGGACTAACTGAACATAGCATAACATGATCATAGTATATAACATAAGCAAATATACTGCATACTGTATCGGACTGCAGTCTTGACTAAGTAACACATAAACATGCTTGAATCACAAAGATATCAAGCATACTAAACTACTATATCGGACCAAAGTCCGGAACTACTGTTGTCTAAACGAACCGACATTGTGGTCGTAGACGTGTTCCTACTGAAAGGAAAACTTACCTCAAAAAACTAACTGTTGAAAGCCTGAGTAAAGAATCCCTAACTGTTGTTTTGGCTGCTCCCCGGCTATCCTGATCAATTAAGACACTAAATCAGAATAAGGATCCTTCTATGGGTAAAATGACTATTTTACCCCTGCTATGGTGTGGGTCATAACCAAGGCTTAAACCCTTTAGTACTTTCTAGCCCATCAATGACCCACTAAAAAAACTAATGGCCCAATTTGCCACATTAGGCCCAAATCCCTTTATTGGGCCTTACCTTAAGCCCAACACTTATCCATTGGTCCATATTAACAGACTTTTGATGGCCCACTATGGCTTAAAGGCCTAAAATCCAAAACACAGCCCACACCGAGGCCCAAAATCCATAAAGCCCAACTGGCAGCATTACGCGGGGCGTACTCTAATGTACGCTTAGCGTACAGGCTTGGTGACGAGTACGTTAGGCGTACCTGCACGTACGCTCAACATAATACTTTATTAAATCCTTCTCTGTTAAGTGCTTAATACCTCCGATTCAAAAGCTACAAACCTAGATCCAAGTCTTGTTCCATGCCCCAACCCATAAAGTTACTTACTGTGACATCCCCATTTTCACGGCCAGAAAATACCGCTTTTGTTTATGCTTTATGAAAATCAGAGTACATCTTTTAATAAAAATGTTGTGGAATTTGTTCCCAGTAAAACATGATAAATACGTTATCAAAGCATTTCCGAAGAAAAATATTTTTATTCATTTTAAAACATTTGGGATGTCATCATCAATACAGAAACATAAGCATAAACAGAACTTACATCCATTATCACGAGTGATTTATATCTCCTTAATCTCTCAGTGTAATGTGACTTCATAACAACATATGTGATATAAATAAACTGAGTGGGTCAGGTTGGGAAACCTGGTAAGTACATAGGGTTTTCAACCCACAATAATATAATTATTTTTATTTAAACAATTATGCAATCAACCCAATTACCCATCCCCATTATCTTCTTTATTCTCAAGGATCTACCCTAAGAATCAACTATTCCTCGTTCATTTATTCCTAAGGATCATTCTAAGGAATAGGCATGAAGTCCATCGTTGCCACGATTTACACAATAGGCACTAACTTTGCATAGTTGTCAGGGGTTAGGCATCAAGTCTGCATGATCGCCAAGGTTTACACAACGGGCACTAAGTCTA